GGTTTTTTGTACTCATTTTTGGGTGGTTTCAATGGTTTTTTGTACTCATTTTTGGGTGGTTTAAATAGGTTTTTTTTCTCATTTTTGGGTGGTATAAATGAGTTGGTTTTGGCTCATTTTTGGGTGGTTTAAATGGATTTTTTTCACGATTTAAATGGATTTTTTTGGCTCTTTTTGGGTGGTTTCAACAGCTTTTTTTGGGATGGTTTCCATGGGGTTTTTTGGCTCATTTTTGGGTGGTTTTGGTGGATTTTTCCTCATTTTTGGGTGGTTTCAATGGGCTTTTTTTCTCATTTTTGGATGGTTTCAATGGGGATTTCTTTCTTCTTTTTGGGTGGCTTCAATGGATTTTTTTTTTTTTTTTTTTTTTGCTTCTTTTCAATTTTTTTTTTTCATTTTTGGGTGGTTTCAATGTTTTTTTAATGCTTTTTTTCAATGCTTTCCTCATTTTTGGGTGGTTTCAGTGTTGTTTTATTTTGTTTTTGCTCTTTTTGGGTGGTTTCAATGGCTTTTTTCACTCATTTTTGAGCGGTCTCAATGATTTTTTTTGAGTTTTTCCTGTGTTTTAATAACTATTTCCTCATTTTTTTGACATTTCTGCGCTGTTTTCCACTCACTTTTCTCTCTTTTTGGGGCGTTTTTAGGCAGTTTTTACTTCACCTGGGGGGGTTTCAGTGTGATTTTAAAATTTCCTCCTTTTCAGGCATTTTTATTCATTTTTGTTTTCAGCTCACTTTGACTTTCAGGCAGTTTCTTCTCATTTTTGGCCATTTTTAAGCTTTTTTCTGGCTGTTTTTGTGCTGTCTTTAGCTCTTTTTGCCTGGATTTGGGCCAGTTTCTCTCCCCTTTATCACTTTTAGCCTCTTTTAAACTCATTTCTGGCACTTTCAGGACATTTTTACCTCACTTTCAACCCTTTCAGTCAAAATTTAACTCACTTTTCCAACTTTCAGGCTGTTTTTTTTCCCCCATTTTGGCATTTTCAGGTATATTTTAACCCATTTTTGGCTGCTTTCAGGCTGGTTCTAACTCATTTTTAGCACTTTTGGTTCATTTTCATTCCTTTCTGGCACTTCCATGTCAGTTTTAACTCATTTTTGGCTGTTTTTTTTCCCCGGTTCTGTCTCTTTCAAGCCATTTTTCATCTGATTTTTGTCACTTTCAGGCTGGTTTAAAGCAATTTTTTCCTTTTTCAGGCCATTACCACTTCATCTTTGGCATTTTCAGCCCAGTCCTAACTCACTTTTGGCCG